AAGTATAAACCCCAAAACCCCTAGATCTTGATTTAATCTAAAATCTTAAAAATTGTAAATGTGTGTAGAAATAAGTATAATTATTTATTAAGCAGTATTTTATATAGCAATAGACAGAGTTCATGATAGTTATTGTGAATATAATTCAAAAATCTTCTGAATCAAAGAGCATGTTGTTTATACTTTTTGCATTAATTGAACTGTTAAATGATACAAAGCAGCTTGAGTGCATAAAACGAGCTCTCTTCATAGGAGTTACGAATTCCCATACATCATTTAAGACTGAATACCTCTCAACCACATTCATAGGTTTACCATTGAAACCCCCTAGCACATAGATATATTGATAGTCTGGACTTGGAATTGCTGAGATAGTGCAACGTTCATTATTCATTGAATTCATCAAAATCCATTGATTCCTCTGCTCATCAAATCTATATATAGCATTTAATAAGTGAATTATTAGATACTTTTCAACCGATGAGAGGTATCTATTTCCATTATAGCCTCCTATTGCATATATTCCATCAGGTAGAGCTACCAAAGATAAAGCTCTTCTGCACTCATTCATTGAAGGTAGCTATTCCCATCTTCCAGTTTATGGATCAAATCTCTCAGCAGTGTTAAGACAATTACTATTAAAAATAATAAATAAAAAAATCCTTACTTATCTGGACCATCATATCCTCCAACTGCATATATTTTGAGATCCGGACCCATAGCAACAGCTAATTCATCTCTTGCCTTCAGCATATTAGGTAGCTTAGCCCATTAATGAGTCTGTAAATCAAGTGCATCTACTTTGTTCAGCACCTTCCCATCATTACCTCCAATAAGCAAAAGCTAATTTTATATACAAACTGAGGCGAAACCTGATCTTGGTTTTTATAAACTCAAGCTTATCGATTTTACATCTCCAGTTTTTGGATTAAATACTTCAATCGAGTTAGTTCTATTTCCATCAAACTTTTTCCCACCAAGGATGTATATTAAGGTTTCATCATTCTATTAAACAGGCACACATTAGAATTTAGTTCTAGGGATATTCAAAGCCCCAATTATCTCCGTCCAAGTTCCTTTATTTGCATCGTATTTTTCTATGCTATTAAGAGGATGATCGTAAAAGCCTGAAAAGACGTAAAGATAACTCTCAGTTTTTTAGTAAAGTTAGTTGAGAAGATCCATCTAATCATTTCTATTATTTGATTTACGTTAAAAGTTATTGTTTTGTATCATTGAATCTGTTATCATCTCAGAATTATCGTTTGATCTATCTAATGGTGATTTAAGACCCTTACATTTTTACCATTTGTCAAAGTCGAGTTGCTTTGGTGTTGGATTGTTTTCAAAATACCCCAAATCTTAGTTTTTAATCTCTGTTTAAGTCTTGATTATCAAAGCTCTCTATGCATTAGAAGAAGATTTAATAATCTGATTTTATACCTTAGTATTCTTCCTGTCATTATATGGTCGTTGCTTATCAACTCCATCATGATGTCGATTTGGTTGTGGCTTAATATCAAATAATGGCTCTCTTTTATTTTTCGCCAAAGAATATTCTATTTAAGACTAATTGCATCTTTATAATCCAATCTTGTAATTTTTGATTTTATTCTCATTAAACTCATCCTCATCAAACACCTGATCAATCTCTTCATCTTCATCATTTTCAATTCTATTTTAATTTTCATCTGGTGCGATATAAAATTGATTGCTTAAGATGTTTGGATTCTTAAGATTCTCATCTTGCAATCTGATTTCTGCCTATCTAGTGGGCTATCTAGTATAGTCTTAAGTATCTGTTCTTTATTTCAATTTCTTTTTTATTGATGACTGATTATATTATTTTTTAGTGGAACTATTTAGTTTCTTCTAATCAAGTAATGCTCTAGCTACTTAATTTACCCTATAAGGGTTATAACTTTCCCTTAGAGAATTCATTGACTTTTCTAACGTTTTTTAGGACTGTTCAGTGATATCTTTTAGATTTATAGTTGTGCTAATCAATCTAGTATTGCTGGATTTTTTCCCACTATCATTATTACTTGTGGTCAACTTAGAACTTCTCTTCTAGTAATTTGTATAGTGCTTGCTAAACATCTGATGCTAGTTTTGATTTGAGTGAGAATATGCAGAAGAAGAAGCAGTATTATTTATTGATGAATAGATATTGATCTGATTACCAAGGCTTTAGTTAGGCATTTATATACTGTGCTGGTTATTGCTGTTTGTATTTACAATACTATCATTCATCTCTACATTTATGTTTTAATTAGTGCATTAAAGATTGTTTTAGCTACCATCCTATGATTGTAAGAGATTCTTGGGATGACTCATATAGTATTCTCTATCTGTCGAGTTATCTGAGAAAGTTTACTGCTAGAACTTTTCATTCATACTGATAGTTTTTTGATACATTTATTCATTAAGCTTTTCGAGATCATTCAGATTTTCCTGCTGCGGTGAGAACTCTAATGATTGGAAGTGATTACTTCTTGACATCTAGAAATGATTAGAGTTATTTACTCCCCCTGGTTGATTTCCAAATGGTGAAGGTGATCCAGCTGTCAAATTTTACTTCTTAGCCATAATTGACGATTTGAAAAGTGTGTCACTCTTATCTTTAGATCTTGATCTTATTTATGCAACGCTAATAACAGGACAATTTACTTAGTTAGAACTGATTTATTGTTATATGCTAGATTATTATATTCCATTATTATTTGATAGAAGATTTATTCTATTTACTTTTGTTGAACCATTGGCAAATAAATTATGAATGCCCTATCTCTATTACTTTCTGCATGTATGCTGTTAAGTTTTAGTGTTACTAATTGATAGATTATGATGAGCGCTAGTAGTAGGAGCCACAGAGGTCTAATGAATAATAGAATTATTACTTAATTTTAAGAAATTCTTGCTTGTAATCAAAGATGAAATCTTCTTTAACTCTTCTTTGTCATGAAAATCATTGAATACCTTTTGGAATTCCAGATTTTAGATCTCTTAAAGTGCTTTTTCTTTTTTATCATAACGCTTTTTAATCTTGGATAAATATTCTGTTTCTGTTTCAAATTATGCTATATGCATATCCTCTTAAAATCTATCTATCAGCTTCAACTGATGTTTCATATTCTTATTTATATTTTTAAGTTTTATTTCCTCTTCTTCAAGTTATTTAGCAATAGTTTACTTCAACTCTGTCTCTCTTTCTTGAAGCAACTTTCTAATCTTATTGTATATTGTGCTAATTTACTATCTTTATTCATTTGCAGTTTAGTTTAATTCACTCATCTAGGTTTCAATACTTAAATTCATATTTTGAAGTTTATCTTTAAAAGATTTGGCTTATTCTACAAATTAGCTGAATATCTGAGACTCTTATTCATATCCTTTTTATGGAGCTATTATCTCATGACTTTTGTGAGTATCTGATAATACAATACAATCGATACATAAGAGATTTTTATCTGAAGCACAATATGCTTTGATTTTTTTATTATGCTGAGGACAGGAATAACTTGATACCCCGTTTGAAAACACTGAATTTCCAAGATTGAAGCTTTATTTACTCTGCCCATCGTTTTATTAAGTTGACGGCCTCTATTGTTATCTTTATTATTATTATTTATCATTTTTGTTTTATGAATATTCATAATCATCATTTTCATCATCAAGACTTTCATCAAGACTCTTCATTTAATTGTTAGTTTTGCTTTTGCTAATGTTATTTGAAAAAGAAGAGCCTGTATTTGTTGAATGCTGTGTTTTCAAAGTTATTTGTCCAAAATCATGTAAATTCATTAGGGCTAAATTCTTAGGAAAGCGATTAATGGCCTGTTCAATCTATTCTTTTGTTTCTAATAAATCCTATTCCACTATGGTAGGTACTTGACACTCAGGGCATTAGAATTCACTTTAGTTCACAAGTATGTTCCTAAGACATGTCTCACATAGAGTATGTCCACAAGCTATAAGAATTCGTGGTATATGCTGATCTTTGTCAAAATTTTTGCAACATAACGAACATGAAATCATTTTCTCTTACTCTTCAAATTTTGTAATAAATTCGTAAATTAATCATTAATGCTTCTCAAAATTTACTTTTGTAAAATTCATATTTCAAAAAATGCTCGTTAATTGCTTTTAAGGGGTTTTGGGGTTTTGGGGTTTTGGGG